CAAGAGGGCCGCGCTGCGGCTCCGCCTCCGCAGAAGGCGCCGAGGAGCTTTAGGTGAGTTTCCCACACGGCTGTGGGAGTGCCTTGCCGCGCAGGGACGCAGGCTTCAGGAGTAACGCGGTCGGGTCTCAGCTCCTGCTCCAACACGGGATGGGCTTGAAGGTTTTTTTGATGTTCTCCGTCAGGATGAGGTCGTATCTGCACAGCTGTGGTCTGCGTGAAAACAGCCAACACGAGACGAAAGTGAAAAATCGGCATTTCTTGTGTGTCCCCCCGGTCAGGTCTCCCAGCGTGCTGGAGGCCTACGTAAAATAAGTCACGTTCTCAAGACAACTGAAGTCCACCTCGCGTTTGCTGGACTTCAGGCCTTGCTGAGTTCAGGGATAGCTTGAGCATATTTTCATTCTGTTCTACGTTACCTTTTGCTTTGCCTTGCGGAAAAAAAGAACACAAAACCCAGCAAGCAAACTGAGGTATTGGCTACAGAGCTCATGGTTCCCTTTAAGCCAACTGGGCTGGTCCCTCCATCTTGCCTGCGTGTTCCTGCCGATTCCCTGGTGCCAGCTTTAGGGCTGAGCTGGGACCAGGCATCGACCTGGCTGAGAGCTAGCCCAGTCGAAAAGCAGGGGAAATGTTTAAGCCTTCACCTGGGGCCCACATGAGCTGAGCATCAGCCCTGGCACAGGGATGGAGAGACGGCAGGACATCCCTCCCCGTGGCAGTGACTGATGTCTTAATAGTGTTAAAATAGTCACGAAACTGTACTCGTGGCCTGTGGCAGCCCCTCCCAGGGGAGAGTGGACGGGCTCTGATGAAATGTTTGGGCATTGGCATCTACTTTTTAAAAGACCGCAAGTGGATCTGGGGCTTGAAGTGGCTGTGTAGATGCAGGATGGGAGAAAGGGAGTGTCAGCGAGGGGGAGCTGCAGAGGCACTTTTCTTTAAATTAGACAAACACAATCTTGTTATTCCAAGGCTAAGGTAAGGGTTGCAGACTTTCACGAACTGCAGAGAAACATGCTCAGCAGCTCTGTCCTTTTTTTGCTTCACCCTGCTCACTCTGTGATAAGCAATCCTTACTTTAACCCAAATTTAAAGCATGAATTCTACATGCTGTCCTTACACACAAAGTCAGCCTAAGAGATTCTGTACTCGCTGAGCTCAGGCAGAGATCCCGACCTGCAAAGGTGCCCTAGAAATCAGGGAAGCTTAAGGGTAGGACCGCAGAGCAGACGGAGGTTAACAAGGTGACTGAAGCAGTTGTAGAAATCTCATCAGCAAATGACCTGGTAGGTACCTCATGATGTTCTGGACAGTAGTCAGCGCTTTGGGGCATAGTGGCCAGCAGCTCCCAGTTACTGGAGTTCCAGGAGCAAATTAATCTCCCTATTTGACTGGACGTAGAAGTGAACTGGGATATAAAATGTCTGTTTGGGGCTGGACGTCTGTATTTCCCTGAGAGCTGCATTTGCCTTCAGGCCTGGACAGCTTATCTGGAGCTACTCAAAAGTCATTTTCCTGACCAACAGTTAAAATGTCAGACCACGTCAGAGTCAGACCATTACATCTTTTCAGTACAATAAGACAACATCTGTGTTGAAGTAGGTATTCAGCTATGGGATTTGCGTGCATGCAGGCAGAATTTATTCCCGAGATATGTGTATAAGAATTATTAAATGTGAAATAGATGTAATTCTTCTGGATAAACTCAGCCAGGGCAGGAATCTAGGAGATTCATTTACTTCCGTCCAGTTTGCAACAACAGAAATGGTTTGTAAACCTCTGCTTACCTTTCTGGCTTTGTAAGTGACCGGAACCTCATTTGGAGAATCCTGAGTTTGAATTTTGGGCCAATGACAGATCCTGTGGAAAATGTCAAGGAAACTTTTTCTATGTTTTCAAAATCCTGGTCGAATCCAATTAGCAAAGTGATTTGGTTGTACCGCTGAAAGGTTGCAGCTTCTCTAAAGATGAAGAAGACAAGGTATCACAGAGTCACCAAGGGAATAGCACCATTTTTAATATATTCAGTATAATATTAGAAACAGCACTGAGGGAGCAGGGCTGAACGTGGGATTAGTTTTTGATTTACAGGAGATGGGTATGGATTCAGGTCTCCAAGCGTGAACCTGCTCGGCCACTTTTGCACTCAGGCATTTGGGGTGAGAGTGGGGACACAGAGGGCTGATGCTGTTTGCTCTGGTCCCAGATCAGAATCCTCACTCTGGTTCTGCTTTGAACCCGAGTGCACTGGACCCAAATGATGTTCGTACGTGGCTGTCTGTGCAGACGTGAGCACTGAGTCATCCGTGGAGTTTGCAGAATAGGTTGCTGTGTGCAGAAATCTGTTTGTAACAGCACTGTGTGGCTGAAGTAGCTCTACAAATGGAAGACTGTACCTTGGGGGTATTAATGCCCCTAACTAAATTTCTGGTACTTCTCTTCTGGCAAATGCAGCAGAAGTGTCTGTGAAACAATGAAGAGTTGACTGGAATTAACAGAGAGTCATACAGCTTCTCAGGACAGGATAATAGCACAGGCTTAAAGACGTGAAGCTTCGCAGGGCTGGGGTTTGACCTTGGTCCTTTTCGACAGAATGGCCATTTCCACTTTGAGATACGCATGCAAACTGCACTGGTCTTGGTGTAAAAGCAGCAAAGCTGCTCGCAAGAACACTGTGGCCACACAACATGTTCTTTATATAGCTGGTTGCATGGCCACGGCTTCAGGTTTCTCTTACGAAGGTGAAGCGTACGGACGTAACTGGAAGTGTATCCCAGTTGCAACACTCCAAGTGGCTGGCCTTGCATAGAAGTTTTAGGAGGCCTGACAAATAGGACAAGTTTTCACCTGTCGAAGGTGTTTACGACATGGTGTGTAAGCCTGCTGCCCGGTGGGCTGTCACATGCTCCGCGGAGCAGGGTGGTCCTGTTGTGCAGCCCCATGGGGCTATGCAGATTGCTTCAGTGGAAGCAGATACGGCTGAGAGAATGCGCAGTTAGAGACACTTGGGAAGACTGGTTGAGCAGGACTTGTTTGGCTGAAGTGTGTTTAGATCAATCAGGAATTTGCATGTCCACATAAACACCAGTCATTAATTTGCCTGTCCAAGTGGAATGAATTGATTTGGATGTTACATATTCAGGCCCAGGTTCATCCCAGCTGTCTTGGGCACCTGGAGCTGGAATGGAACACTCCCTGGAAGGGAAAGGAAAGAGGGGCAGATGTATTTTTCCTCCTGCTTTAGTGGAAGCCTAAGACAGCCGTGCCACTGGCTGAGACAGTCCACGTCACTCCTAAGATGACCAAGAAGGGTCCAAACCAAAGGGCTGGGCTGTTAGCTGGTGTGCTCTGGGGCAGTCTGGGAAAATCACATAGGGTCAGGCAAGCCCTAAGGCGTGTACACTATCAAGTATCAGCAGAGAAATTAGAGGACGATATCTTGCCTCTTCCCAGACGCTGTTGTACGAAGTGATTTGCTAACATTTACAGATCGTCAGATCGGTAAGACTTACGGATTAACTTTAGATTCTGCCTTTTTCCCAGTTTCGTCAGCTAGCACAATGCTGAAGGTGCCTCTTCTGGTGTCTTTGCTCCACGTGATAATATCCACAAAGTAGTGATAAACTGAGGTGAGAGAGAGAGGGAGGGTGGTTAGACTCTGCACGCTCTGCTTTCCAGCCCGGCTGTGTGCCTGTCTGCGAACTGAGCTGCAGGGGGAGTATGTCTTTCTCCTGTTTGCTCGTCTGACACAACCCGTTCCATTTACCTCTACAATCGCTTTCTCCTTCCTTTGCAGAGATTTCTAGCAGAAATATTAAGAGATGTCTGGGAAAGCACTACAGCCAGGGCTCACAAGTGGCATGCAGCATGGCCTCTCTGTACGGCTTTCAGCATGCTGCCTTTCATTCTCTACCTTCCCCGTTTATTTTCAGGTTGCCTTTTCTTTCTCCTATCTGCCTCTGGTCCCTTTCATGTCTGTTCTCAGCATCTTTCATTTATCTTCTCTGTCACAGAGCAGAATCATCTGCTCTTGACTCTGATCTGTAACTCACTGACTTCACTTGCTGACCAGCACTGGAGCTCAGGCCATAATCCCTGCTCGTGGCTTGGTATGTTGGTTATCATGGGGGTGAAACCTTTATTCACCAATTCCCCCTTGCCTGAGCCCATTCCCTGTCCTTTCACTTTTGTCCGGGTTAGCTTTTTAAGCTGTTCAGC